TAAAGAATGTGGAAAACCACAGAAATATTAGCTTAACTCCTTTTTTCTTTAAGTGAAAATTGTAGTCCCGACTGTGTTAAAAGCAAGACATAAGTGTTTCTCATCTGCAGTACCTGTAATTTCTGTTGAAATGTTTCATTTGAAAGATTTGAAGAATTTCTATGGCAGACCTTGGACAGCTAAGAATTATTTTCTATTTCTGTTTTTTTAGTGGTTGTTTTTTTTTTTGTGTGTGTGTGTGTGTGTTTTTTTTCTCTCCAAAAAAGTTAAACAATGTTTTAACAGACATCTCCTCTATGGCAAAAATACTATTACTACTAATTTGGCTATTTGTATACTATAAACATGCACAACTGCAGAGTGATGCTCCTGGAAGATCTGGTTTGCTCACAGTGTTGACGAGTGAGAATGCAAAGAATAAAACCTGGTCTGTTGTGCAGGGGGCTCCTGGAGCCCAGGCTGCAATGACACAGAGCTAAGGCGGGCATTTAGCACTCCCAGCTAGACCCTAAAAGTTTTTCTTACAGATCTCAGAGTGCATGATCATTATCCACAGTAGTGCCAGCAAGGTGTAAGATTTGCAATCATTTCTGAAAAGCTGTAAAAAGGCTTAGAGGTAAAAGAAAGCTTTAGGAGATTTTGCATTTTATCCAAGGGTTTTTTTTCTGCTTTATATTAGATTTCCTCTGCCAACTCGTTGCTGCGTCACTGAAACTACTTCAGATGCAGCACAGTGCATCCCCAGGGCTCAGGGATGCAAACACAGCACCCTCCCTCAACAGCAGAGAAGTGAGAAAGGGATGGATGCCCCCAGCCTCCTTGCAGTTACAGGAACCCTCCCCGGGGAAGTTCACAAGATTCAACCTACTGGACAAGAGGATTAGAGGCTGCTTTTTTGTGATGGGGGCTCAAAAGTTTAAGCTGTGTTACAGAGCAGTGGGTAGCTGATCCCAAAACCACCAAAAAGCATCATTACATTAATCATAACGCATAGGAGATGAGATGTCACTGGGTCCTGTCTACAGAAATGTAAGCCATAATAAAAAGAGGAAAAATATATCTCATTCACATCAGGTGTGAAGAATTCTGTAACCTGTTTTTCTTGCATTTTCATAATTCCTGGAATTAACAATATTTCTTGGCAAGGTATGATTAATATGCAATTTATATTTGTCTGGTCACTAATGATGTATTTTAGAAATAATTTCCAATACGATGCCCTCATCACCATAGGGCAGCTACTACCTGTCATATACATTTTCTCACGGAATAGCCACCTGCTTAGCATGGAAGCACTTGAAACTATGTATAAAGCACATTTTACACCTGACAGATTGAATTAAGAGCAGAAAAATGGGATGGTTTTCTAATGGCATCAGTATTACTGTGCTGGTTGTAAAACGGACTCATGTCTAGAAGGCTCTGATTCATGTTCTCTCTTTTTGAAGACTATTGACTTGTCTGGGTCACTCTTTTTTTTTGTTGTTGTTGTTGTTAATGGCATATTGATATTGGTTGTTGCTGTTGCTTTGGCTTAGAAGTCCAGTCAAATGAATTTACTAAACGTTGCTGTCAGTGAAAAATTAGCATCAGCTGTAGCAAACACAGGATAGCAATACTTCCCTGAGCAAGGACCACACTGCTCGGGTCCCCGGTCCCTTCAGAGACAGACCTGCAGAGGATGAAATGGTTTCAAGTGATGTAACATACGCTGAGACTCCAAAGAGGACCAGGGCAGCTGTAATTCATCACTTCCCATGACCTTGCACATCCGAGCACGTAATGACCAGCTGTTTGCAGTGTGATGGGCACGGTCACAGATTACCTGACCCATCATTAGAGCCCCAGGTCCATCCCACCCCGTCCACGAGCCCAGCCAGCAGCGAAGTGAGGGTGCCACTGGAGGATTCACACCTTCCATCCCCTCCTGCCTCAGCTCCCAGCCCCAAATCCCATTCCCAGCAGATACCAGATAAAGCAGCCTTGTCCTGGAGGGTCAAACCGGGATGAAGGCCCCGCAGTGCCCCGGTCCCTGAGGGGCACCCGTCCATCCCATGGCGTGCTTGGAGGCAGCTGAATCGCTGCTGCAAAGTTTCAGGGTGTTAGATTTTCACAGCTAGGCATCAATAACCAAACACGGGTCGCTGGTTGTGTTACCAGCTTATTTCCAAGGAAGAAACAACAACAACAATAATAATAATAAAAGGCACTTATCTCTACAGAGAGGCTTCTCAGTGAATACAAACCTGCCTGGCGACTTCAGCTGATCGCCCCACACCTCGGCGAGGAAGCAGCTCCCGATCGATCCGGGGAACAGGGGAGAGGCAGGGGGCAGGGGAGGCGACATCCCTGGCCCCGGTGCCCCCAAGACCCCATCCCCGTCCCCCCCGAGGCACCCCGGCAGCTCCTGCGGGCAAACTTCGGGCAGCCGCCGAGGGGGCGAGGAAACCGAAAACTTTCTCCACGCTCTCCGCGGCCACCACCCCGGCTCCCCCCCAGCCTCCCGTGCCCGGGTGCCGGCCCTACCTTGGCGGCCCTAGAGGACTGGCACTGCCCCTGGTGCGACACGGTCGCCGTCTGGTTCATGGTGCTGGCTGCGGTGCCCGCCGCCTCCGAGCGGGCTGCGACGGCGGCGGCTCCTCGGGGGAGGGGGGGGGACGCCCGGCACCGCCCCGGGGCTGGGCCGAGCTGGGCTGGGCTGAACTGGCTTGTAATGGGCTGAACTGGACCGCTGGTGGTCCTGAGGGCTCCGCACCGCTCCCGCTGCGGCTCCGCTGCGCTGCCAGGTGCGGGGCGGCGGCAGCCACAGCGCTGAGGGGGGTGGCTGAAACCTCCCCTCTCGGTGATAAACGCGGCTCTGATCCGGCCACACGGCTCCTTGAGGGTTTTTTTTTGGGGGGGGTGTAATCTGCAAAGCCGGCCCGCGGGCAGCATGCACACGGTGCTGCTCCACAGGAGAAGCCTGAGGTGGGACCCAAGGCAGGGGTGCAGGGATGGCAGTGGGTAAGCGCTGCGGGCAGGCTGAGACACCCCAGGCTGACAGCGAGCAAAATGTGTGTCATGCATGCACAACACTCCTACATAACCTCTGGTTTTGGAGAAACTGCCTAAGGTGGCTCCGAAGGGTGTGTGAGACCACAGCGACATAGGCCAGGAGGACACGAGGAAGGGAGAGAGCAGAGCCAGCAGCCGTGGCTTGGGGCTCCCGAGGAACGTGTGGGTTTGGAGCCTCTCGCTGCATGAGGCTCCAGATACCATACCAAAAGCGACATTCCCAAAAATATGGGCCTGAAGATTGAACTTGAAGGTTCCTCAGTTGGTGCGGATGGAGAAGGAGCAAGCAAGCTGCAGTTTGGGGCAAAGGCCAGTGGTCTTTCTGACTTGCACCATAGTCTGCCTCATACCCAAATGTTTTCCGAAAAGAAAGACTGTGTGTTATCAGCACCACGAGCTGAAGCAGCTGGAGATAACCTGGAGGCTTCAAGGACACATTTTTCTTTTTCATCTTGAAATATGTTTGTGTTTGACAATCTCAGATGGGAACTACTCGAAGCCAAAAGGATGAACTCATGATATTTTTAGTTGGACTAGGTAGCCATGGAGTTTTGTAAGCTCCTGTGGGAACTTTGTGTAAAGTTTTTGTGCTTGATGTTATGTTTCATAGTGGCTGACCTATGTGAGCCACACACACACACAAACAAAGTTTTAAGCTAACACAAAAATCTCTACTTTACGAAAACAATGAAAAAGCAGCTTGGGTAAAAAGCTGTCAGTCAGAGATAAGATCAATAATTTGCTGGCATTGTTTTTAAATCAACTTCTACAAATTGTAATTTATGTGTTCCTAGGGGGAATAAATTTTGCTGGTTCACCTCCTGCTCTTACCGGGTACAACCTAATTACAGCATGAACCTAACGAGGGTGATCAGGAGTTGTAATGACTCTATAAATGCACCATTCATCATTACAACGCATCTCAGAAACAACCTAGGTTAGCAGAGCAGGTTTCCATGTGATGCCAGCAGAATGCCTGCACTGCTGGCTCCCCCAAATGCCACCCCTCAGCTCCTTCATGCAGCTGTCAATCCTCCTTCATGGGCAATCCTCTCGGGGACCTGGCTGCTGAGCAAACTCACCTCACTCTGGATGTTAACTGCGAACACAAGTATCCATGTTAGCCCTGCAAGGCAGTTGTTCAAAAGTTTCAGCATCCTTAGGGTGCAATTAAATAACTGAGTGATTACCAAAATATGCTGGAGAATATGAAAGCTGCGAGCAGATGCCTCTCTTACATATTGCAGTAGAGCAGGTGGTACCTGCTGGTGTCAGAGCTGCCCTTCGGCGCGCTGAGCAACCCCCCTTCTTGAAATATTTAAAAAGAGTAAAGAAATCAGCATGATCAGCCAGGAAAATTGATGAAACTATCCAGAAAGTTTAAATGAAAAGCCAATCCCCATTTCCCTGCCTGCCGCGCTGCCCAAACGCAGCGAGCAGCCACACACAGACGGTCCTCCTGCTGGAGGTACATCTCCCTGGGCCCCCATCACTGTCCCTGTCCTGTCATTACCTGCTGCCAGTGATTCCCGCTACAGTTCCCTGGCTGCACATTTCCCTGCTGCTTGCTTGCTTGCTTGCTTTCTAAACCTTATGTTCTTCCAAAAAAAAAAAAAAAAAAAAACACAAAGCTTTCTTCATTTTTTTGATCCACAATTCCTGAATTACCTTGTATACTCTCTGTTTTAAGAAATAAAAAATTAATGTGCGTATTGGTAATTAGAGGCACTTCACAACATGTTTTCCAATAGCTGTTTGCTTTCTTTTTCATGCAAGTACATAAAATTCCCTTTTACTGCTGTTCCACGTACCCGGGGCCTAATTCTGCATTTGCACACATTGGCAGCAATTGACAGGAGTGAGGTGTTACCAGGCTCAACAGGGCTTACTCTTCAGAGTAACAACCAAGAAGATTTAAGAAAGCAAAGCAAAACAAAACAAAAAAATGTGGCCATACTAATTTACTTTAGCCCACAAGTGTCTCTTTCTGATTCCATATTTGCATTGCGGCCATTCCCTAAAAGCCAAAAACCAAAGTTGTACCCTGTTCACACAGCATTTAAATAAGCAGCACATATTTTTGCACATAAGGAACTTCTGCAAAGAAGAACAAATCCTTTTTCTTCAATCTCCCATGAAGTCCATAGCAGACCCCAGGAGGAGTAGGCTCCATCTTACTGTTTTCGTAAAGAATTTTCTCATTCATTTAGCTTTGTGTCTGCAGGAGCTACTGCATTCTAAAAAGAAAAAAAGTGAACCTGACTGATTTGAGAAGTAGATTTAATTTCATGCAAAACTATTACTCACACTCCTAACAGGATTCAATATTTCTACCGCCAGAGAGCTCTGGGATGAGTAATGTTTCTGCACACCTGAAGACTTGGAGGAACCCAGCTAACCACCTCCCTGCTGTGAGCTTTGCAGTATTCCCATGCTTACTGCACAGCACTCAGGAGCTGTCACAAAACACTGGAGACATGCCCAAAGTAGTGTTAAGTGCCTTTCTGTACCAGTTTATGCTTCTTTAAGCATTAAAATCTTTCTTGCCATGGAAAACACTGAGCTTTACACAGAACACTTTGAATGCAAGAGCACGACAGCAGTGTCCATCGCTGGTCCTCCAGGGATGCTCTTCCTCACTGAAGAAAGGTCTGAGTCTTTCATTGGGTCCACATCCAAAATGCACAGTGCAGTGGGGCTTTAGTGATGGTCCCAGATTAGGACAGAAGCTTGAATGAAATGTCAGTCAAGACCAAGGGTGCTGTGTCTAAGCAATATATGTAATGGGCCACACAGAGGCAACCCCCCTTTTTAAAGGTTGGTCCCCAGCTAGTAGCTAAACCTCTGAAATGTTATACAAATCCCCACCCTCAGACCAAACTCGGCTTTCCAAGTAGTTACATACCTTATAGATAGCCCTGCAAACTTGTCGAGGCGTTGCCAAGCTTATTACAACAGAACTCAATCTAAAATCTGTCCCCTCAACATGAGGAAGTTGCTCCATGATTCTTTCTGCATCCAGGTTGAAGGACAAGATGCCTCCTGCAAACAAAATTCACTCTAAGCCATTGTGTCGGCCTGAGAAATTTTACCCCGAGATGCTTGCACATAGAGGTAGCTTCCTGACAGAAAGAAAGATTGCATATTTAAAGGGTTTGAAGTTTTAATTAATAGTTTGTAGCTATGGAGACTGAAGTGGAGATAGAGTTTTTTGCATTAGATCTCAGAGGCTGCAGGAAAGAGTGATGCTTTCCAGATTAAACAAAAACAGAAAAGTTCATGACAACAGCTAAAAAGAGAGAGGGAGAGAGAATGCAAATTGGTTACTACAGACCCTTTTCCTTTATCTTTCTGGGTTAATACAAACCTAAGCAAAATTTTAGAGGCATGCTATCACCTGTGGGCATAAGAAAAAAAAATCTGTAGAAGAATAATACTGAACCATAATTATTCCCAACATTATATTTCAATGTTACTGAAAAACAGATCAACACTCTCCCTTAGCTCAGGGTGAATCTAGTAACACATAACATGATGGATTTAACATAGGTGAAAGGTAGCCTACAATCAAGTATGCATTTTCTCTAAAACACCGCATGGGAGTGGTTACCATCAAGAACAAAAAGATGCTTTCTCTACCCCTTAAGCCAACCCCAAATTTCCTGCCCTACAAGACATGCATTCCTCTCTCCCCACTTTAAAGATGCTTTTACATGACTCTCAGGACACCAAAGGCTCTAACTCATTGCCACATGCGTAACATAGCAGATGAGTGGTTCATGTTCTGACTTATTCTTCCCTCACAGTACTAATTAATTGGCTGGGGATGGTTTATGTATGTATTTCTATGTCGTGGCAGAAGCCATCCTTTTCATTAAAAGAGATGAAAGGCAGGACAGCAAGATCCCTGCCAGCAGGCCTGCAGCTCCAATTTCCAAGGTGGCCATCCTGAGGACACGTCTTTGCCTGCCCACCTCTGGGGCAAGGGAGAGCAGCCTGAAAACAGCAGCAGCCTCATGCAGGCAGCCAGCAATCATTTTGGCAGCGCTGAGAGCTGAGAGTGAACTGACCCTAGTAAACTAAGGATTATGCACAATCTCTAATTGTTGCTTCAGTAAAGGAAACGCATGATGGTGCAGGGAAGGCATTTGTGGGGAAAAATCTTACACAACCTCCTTAACGAAGCTAGGAGAAGGCAGACCACAGGAATTTGAAGGAAGAGGTTGATCAAAGCACAAGTAATTCAGCAAGAAACCTCACATTTTAGATATAAACCTTGCCCATAGGGCTATGAAGATGGGGCTGGGGCATACTGTGCCTTTTACTGCTGATGCTAGCAGGCACAAATGCAGCATGTTCCTGGAAGACAGTCCTTTTCCTCCCTGTGTATAACTTTTCTCAGCCTTTTCAGATGTGTGATGCCTTTTCAATAATAAAATGTTTATATTCTCCCCTTCTCTCTCTTTCTCTTTTCAATCACAAGTGTGTCAGTCGCAAGCCTCCATTACCCGGCCACCATGATTGCTGCTGTGCTTCAGCTGACAAGCTGTGAAAGTTTTGGCTGCCCAAAATCATTGTGAACATTTTTATTTCCTTGTGCTTCCGTGCCTGCATCTCGTTGCTGTGTACCAAAGTACCTTCACACTTATACATCAGTGAGTTTTAATGCCATCAAATAGTGCTTCCAACTAGTTAGGAAATACAACCTTGTTAATGAGACGCAACATTGCTGCCAGCTGCTCATTCAAATATCACTTAAACATGCACAGAAATAATTTCTTTATATTTAGCATCCTTTTTACATTCCAGTTATAAAAAAATGTAGAACACTATGTGGGAAAAAGCAGCGTGGATCATTCCCTCCTATACTTTGCAATGAACCATGGACTCTTTCAATGGAAATTACATTCAATGTCACAGTGCTTAAACTAACGAAGGGACGAGAGATGAGATTGGAACAGCTTTTTCTTTCCTTTAGGCTTTTAGTACATCCCAGAGAGGTGGTCTGGGATTTCAGTACCCCAGAGACTGAAGACCTGTGGGGCTCACAGGGTTGGGAGGAATTTGTCAGAGACCAACCAAGTCGTATGTGTGCTTATAGAGTCCCCAGAAACTGTTCAATCTACCAATAACTAAATCCAGAAACTTCTCACCTTGGGTGGAATAGTAAAATTTACACTTACTGCGATGCTGAAGGCCTCAAAATGCAGGTTTCAGTGACAGCTCCGATACCTGTAGGCAAATGCTGAGCATCACACTCACTGATAACTTCTGAGACAAATGTAACACAGCCATCCTGCATGCACAGTAAAAGGATAGTAGCTCTAAACACATAATCCAACCATTATTTTGATTTCAGTATATTTTCCAAATCATTCTGAAAATATGTTTTTATTAAAGTACATGAATTGTCAAAAGCAATTCCAGCAGGTGGAAGAAAAAGAGCAGAGAAATTGGAGCTGGCTTAACCAGGTTTATAAACCTGCTGTTTCAGTCTCAAAGATAAATTACACTGCGGGAGCACGTTCACTAAACATTCATGCTCTCCTTCTTGCCCTCCTACTTATGTTCAAAGAGCAGAATAGAAAAACATAAATCAAAGTCTCAGAACATATTTCTTCTCCAATTCTGAATCTGCCATATCTCCATGCTGGAATCATAACCCCCCACAACACAAATAAAAAGCATGGCCCAGCGATCACCACTTAAAAAATAATTAAGGGCAACACAGTAATTTACACTTATCTAAAGCCTTTCACCCCAAGGATCCCAAAGCAATTTATACACAATACAGATGTGGCTGATATGAAAACAATAATGGCAGGGAGCAATTTGGGAATTGAGGAATGCTCTGAACTCTGCAGCTCTTTGCAGACCAAAACTTTACATTCCCCACTATCCTACTAGCAGTCGGAACCAAACCCACAACAGTCTTTGTCCCAAGTTTAGAAACAGTCTAGTTGCATACTGAAATATGTGTCCTGAACTTCAATTCCAGTCAGTGAGTTTGAGAAATGAAGAAAGGAGAGCATACAACACTGCCCATTGGATGTTGTGCCCAGTTTTACGAGGTGCTCATCCTCAGGACTAGCAGGATTAACACATTCTTCAGAAGGAAAGAAAGCTTTCAAGTTCTATGCTTACTTCTCTATTCCTTTTTTATGTGTTTCTGACTTGTTTGTGATCCATCTGGGCTCTGGGTAAACACTGGTGTGCAGGCAGAGCCTCGCTCTGTCTGCGCTAGCACCAAAATACCATCTTTTACCTGCTGGCTGCTCAGCAAATTACAGCAGCCAGTCCATGGGTGCTTGATGGAGTCCCAGCACTGGCAATAACATTGGACTCCTATATTATATCCCCAAACCACACCCCTGGAGCGCTGGGAGAAAGGCAGCATGAGGAACTGCACTAATACATATTTCAGAAATTAACCAGTAATCCATTTACATTTTCAAGGCAATTTTCATATAGAAAAGGGCTATCGGCTCTATATTACAAGCCATGACTTTTGCATTTCTTTTTAGAAGAAATTTTCTTTTTAAATTTTGTGAGCACTCAAACTCTGAAAGCACGAGCTGTTTACTTTGTAGGACCTCCAAAATACAAATTTTTGGAAAACAAGATCTCTTTTGTAACAGGAGATATAGATGCCAACAACAGCAAAGCCCCCTGGCACTGTTCAGGTCCAAAGGGGTCACTGCACACCCCAGCATTTCAAGGTGTAGCTGTGTATTATTACCGCCTTTTAAAATTGGGAAATCAAATCAAAACACCTCGGTGCCACACACCACTTCACTCTCAAGGTCAGGAAACTCACCCTTTTCCCTTCTTAAGCCCTCTGTTTCTCTACCAAACCAGGTATGTTGGCCTGCCAGAGAAACACAAGGGTTTTTAATGGATTGAATGAGAACAGCACGTGCAGCAGGAGTGCAGCATCCAATCTGCATGGCTAATGCACCAGCAGTTGGTCTGAGCAGGGAGAGGAGCTGGCCTCACCACTGGGCTGCAGGAGCATTACTGGCTCGGGAAGGAGGGAAAGCCAACTATGCTTTTTGGAGGTTTTGCTTGTTTGATTTTTTTTAAAGTAAAGTAGCATCAGGGAACAACGTTACCATCTGAGCTGCCTGCACAGCACATCTCAGCTTCAGTCCTGGGTGGCAGCCACAGCATCTCTCAGCAGGGAGCAAGGAGTTTGCTGTGAAAGAACACAGAGAGGAGTGATTGGGTGGGATTTCTCTCCCTTCCTCACGATCCTGGGCTGCTGGCAGCTGATGCGCTAATGACACACGAGAGTAGTGAATTATTCAAGCAGTTTTCATAAAGAAAGGCTGGAGGGGGTTGATCACTTTGCCTCACGCTGGATTACTTTTCCTTATCTCTTTTTTTGGGGAGGAAGTGGCAACAAAATGAACATATTGCTTTAATTAGAGAGTCCACAGAAATTGCAAGTATTTAATATTGTCTGTCGAGAGATAGATGCCAAAGAAAAAAAAAATAAAAGCAAACCTCATAATGAGACTAGTTTGGGCTAAATTCTGAAACTAAAAAACAAATATACAAGGGTCATTTGTTTTTCAATCTTCATCCTGCTTCAGTCTGTGTCTCACATCGTCAAGAGGCGGAAAACAATTTCATTTCCTAGCTGCCCAAAGAAGCTGTGCCTATGTGTGCCACCTGGGGATCTCACCCAGTGCTGCTGTTTCATTCCTCCCTATTTTTGACAGATACCTGCCAAGGGACTAGCCTGGATATGGAAATGCATTACCCAAGTGTCACGGGTAACACACTCCTTTTCTCTCCCATCCTCTCCAAATCATCCAAAGCACAAGAGACATCAAAACTGGGTTGGGGAAAGTGAACGGATGCAAGGGCAAAAATACTGGACTGAAGGAGTAAGACTCTGCAGTAAATTGTGGATAATACAGGCTCTGTGGCTGCCTGTACTGCACACAGGAGTTCATTCCACAGTCCAGTCTTGTGTTCGTACATTTATGAAAATGATTTATTGCATGGAGCTGTGGCTGTGAGGGAGTACATTACATGACCCCAGTGTTCCTACAAATCTTTATCCACTGTTTCCTTGCTTTCATGGCACGCAGCCATGGCAAGAAGTTGGTCTAGCAATAGCATGGATTTTGATTATCAGTGCAACAGGTCTCGCGCTGGCTTTGGGCTTTGATGAAGAATCACCGCAGAGACCTGATAACACAAGTATGTATTTGCCATTTCCTCTGCTTCTAATCATTTTGCACTGGTCTGGAAAGACTTTCTGGGGCATTCAGTCCAGTTCCGTGCTGCTGCAGGTGACCAAATAATGAAGTCCATTCCATAAGCTGATGGATTGCTTTGTTTTGTCATAAGACATTTCATCTTGTGTAGCTTTATTTCTAGCTACAGAAACTTTCAGTCGGTGGGTGGGAAATGCCAGACACTTTTGATCAAAGTGTTTTTTACACTCTCAGGATATTAAAGCATTGGGAAGGAAGGGAAAAGAGAGACATCCAAAGAGATGCTGCAGCCAAGAGACAACTTTACTGTGTTGGGCTCTTTTAAGAGGAAAGGTTGTTTAAAGAGAGCTGAATCCATCCAAGCATTTCTACAGCTCCCAGAAGTGCTGCTTTCTCCATCTCTGTGCCAGGCACCTGCAGCATCGGGGGCAGCTTCCCACACCAAGCCCTGTGGCCTCTGAAGAGCTCTGGGCAGGAGCAAACATCGCGCTATCAAAAATACCCACTGAGATACAACCAATGGAGAATTAGGAATAGATGTGGCTTCATGGAAAATAGGTCTTCAGCACCCAGCGTCATCTGGTCTTGCCATTTAAGTACAAGCTCGGCCACGCTGTTGGAATACAATTCTGTATCTCACTTGATTTGCTTCCAGAGATGCTCTAACTGAGAAGAGCACTCTGACACTACGCAACAAAGTTCACGCTAAATGGATTAAAATTATAGAACTGATAGATCTTACGGCATAAATTTAAATGTAAGTATCTGTCCCACTTCAGTGCAGCCGTACAGTTTGTATTTAGAAGAAGATATAAGTGATCATTAATGAAATTTATGGTAACATTAAAAACTAGTGATGTAGTCAGTAACATTGGGAACTGCTCAATTATGTAAATCAATTGGCAGAGTAACACGGATTTTAAAACTGCAAAATGTCGTGTATTAAAGATCCTTAAAAGGTGGGAAATGGGACGGTCAGAGATGCTGGCAACAAAGTGACTCGACACAAGAAGTCCCCACGGAAATGTGGCTGCTACAACTGAGAAGCTGCCACCAAGAGGGCAAAGCAAACCTGTGGCTGCGTAAGCTGCAGACCCCAAACTGTCCAGGAAGGATTTTCTTTTCACATTTTTTAAAGGAGCTGTTGAAAAGGCTAGGGAAGGGTAAGAGGAGAGCTGCAGGAATGACATGAGTAGGAAATGCAGCTCCTAATGAGGTACTAAAGCAGTTTAACCTCTTTAACTTCAGTATCTATGCAGGAATATATTCAGAGCCAAAGCAATCTGTAATTAGCTATATATATAACCTCCAAGAATGGGAAACTGAAACAATATCAGGATGAAGACTAAAGTTCTAATTTTATAAAACGAGTGTAACCGACCTTTGCAGATGCTTAGGAATCCCAGCAACCTGAAAGCACAGAAAGCAAGAGCACAGCCCCTGTAAAAGTCACAGCACTCATCTAGTAGCCACCCCGTGGGGTGCACGAGCCCTGGCCCTTCAGCCTAGAAACAAGAGGCACTGATGTCTTCCCTGGGGTCCCAGGGGACCCTACAGAAGGGCTTAGTAGGGTCCAGGAGGTGGCAGGGAGGAACCCTGCCTGTTTTTTCAGGGCTCACAGGAAAGCAAACATCTTGCAGGTCCCGCACTGCTGGGCAAACAGCTCGCCAGTTTCTGGCGAAGCGCTTCCCCAAGGTAATACTCTTTCATTCCCTGCTCGCTTTGTACCCAGCTTTACACAATTAATTAGGGAAGTGTTCAAAGACCTAGATTTTAAACCACTTAATTAATAAGGAATGAACGGTTAATGGCTATTCCTCTCAGACTGTTTAATTTAATGAGAGAATTTGCAAGAAAAAAGAAGCCAGAAAATCGATTTAGCGTGTAACAAATTGCGGCAGAAAACAGAAATGTCTGACGTGAGCATATGTAGCCATTTACTGTTCCAACGTACCCGAGCATCCCCTCCAGAGCTGGGGGTGTCCCTGAGCAGCAGAAGGAGCGAGTCCCCATCCTAGCAGCCAGCTGGGCAATGTCAGTTTGTGCAGGACACACTTATTCGAACTAAATCTTTCTATTAGGGAAAAAGAAAAACCCTCCTGCAGCAGCAGCATATCAGTTTGATCTTGTAAGAGCTGTCACGCTGACATCTCTGTAAAGGCAATGTTTCTTTTTATGTCAGCAGAAGGTCTGAATGCCACACGATGGGAACATGCCCTTCTATGTTACCCGAACATCGCGAGGTGTTTCCTTCCCTGAGGTACCTGCCACCAACAAGAAGAGCCAAGACTGAAGACAGGATGGCTCGGAGAGAGCAGCGAAATTCTTCTAATAATACAAAAAAAAAAAAGACCTAAGAAAGTATCGGAGCTGTTACACTTAGTTTTGTAAAGATCACGAAAGAAACTGCTCCGCTACTGAGGCACTTCAAGCCTAACCTCTGCTTTTAAACCACAACTATGCTGGTACATACACAACAGAAGGCTTGGGGCTGGGGAGAGATGGCATTTTGCTGCTTTAGTTTAAGAGCTGGGAATTCAGTGAGATGAGTATAAACATTCAAAATACAAAACAAAACAAAAACATTGCATCTGAAAAAAGGCCTTGGTTATCAGCACTGGCAAGACTGAATGATTTGTGCAGGGATGGAATGAGACTCCAGCATATGTAGCGTTTGGAAATAAATAGTGGCATATAGCTTTGCTGTGATTTTACCAACCATTTTCATCATTCATTCCCATATACTGGTTTAGCCACCTATTTTTGCAAGGCATGTGACTTGCTGATGCACAGCGTAACAGTTTTTTTTCCTTGACTATTGCTAACTAGCCCTACCTCTGTAATTCATATCAACCCAGTAAGGCCAATTCAATAAGGGATTTGATGTCTCTTCCAGAGGTCACATAGAAAAGGTATTCACAGTGAGTGTTGCTAATCTGTACTGGGAATTGCTCTTCTTAACAAACTAATTGATAACCCTTGGCCAAAAAGAAGAGGGGAGAAGAAGATAATAGGGAAGCTTTTTGGCTTTCGCAGGTCAAATCTGTACCCAAAGCCTGGGAAACTCTAAGAAGACAAAAATAGTTGTGTTGGCCAAAAAGTGGTGTGCCCAGCTGAAGCAAGGAACCTACTGGTGTGAAAGGAACCAAAAAATGTCCTCAGCAAATCCCTGAGCCCACCCCAAATGATGCCGGGGCACCCAGCTGCAGTCCTGTGCCAAGGGGGCAGGATGCCCCTAGCCAGTAGGGGATTTAGCCCATAAACACATTCGAACTTTAAAATTTATGTAATCACTTCTGACTAAATCCTCATTATAGCAGAAGTTAGAGTATATGCAATTATCTCCTTGGTTTGGGTTTTAAATTAATATGAGTCATTCTCCTTCCATTTAAAACCTCATTTTCCACACGTACAACACTTCCAACCAACTTTGGAAGAGAAATATCAAAGGGGCTAATTCCCCTGTTTTAATTTAACTGAAGAAAATAACGTTACATAAAGGACAGATCTGAATCATTAAACTGTGCCTGAGCTGACAAGGAAGAGAGAAAGCAAGGGCAAAACTACATGTGCATAAAAAATTCAGCACCTGTTACTGTGTTTTAATGCTGCGTGTTTGTTTTTACTGAGAGGAGTGCAGGGAAAGAGGAAAGCGTTCCTGCAGTACTAAACATATCCTGGAATAAGACTGGGCCTCTTCTCTGATCCCTGCTCTGCTCCTGAAATTGCTCGCAAAATGAAGCATGACTGGCACGACTGTCAAATCCCCTTTCCTCAAGCCCCATCATAACTCCCTGCACCATGGGACTGTGTCAGAAGAGAAGCAAGCTCTCAGCTCCTCCAAGCAGCAGCTTTCTTGGCATCACCGTTGTGTTTGAACAGCATTATCTAATCTGTGCGCCAAATTATTGCCCTGTTTAGAGCCGCACCAGTGCTGTGCTGCTGCTCCAGAGCTACCCTGGCACTG